AAAAAAAGGACAACAAATACAAGGAGTTGTGGCATTACAAGTTCAATCATAATTTGAAAAATGAACCATCCTAATGTCAATCTGCAGAACTGGTCTGCGATTGTGAAATACGAAAATAAGATGTCAACAAGAGGGATTGGAGAAGAATAGGAAGGCGCAAAGGATGTACATAAAAGAAACATACCACTTTGGAACCTAATGATCCACCTAAAAACAAGAAAGAAAAATGGGAGGCTAATCAAGCATCATGAGCATCACTGCCACCAACCTGAGCTTCCTGACTGACAGAGTAGTTGCTTCCATCGGGACCCAACACCTTAAACCTGCTCAATCGGAAAAATATATCAAATTCGTAACAGTTTATAAACAAACTGTAATGACAACACCCACAACAGCAATTGGATACCTCTCAAGAATAAATTTCCCTTCCTTGTACTTCTGGGTCCTCTCATTAGCAGCCTCCTGGATTTAGCACCAAAAATATAGTTATTTGTAGTTTCTTTTATCTCACCCACTGGATTGGGTTTCAATCTAATAGCTGGGGAAGGGTTACGGGACAAGAGCACCACCAAGTATGTAACTTTGGTATATTTCAACTGAAAGGGTTTTATAATCTGTTCTTTGGGGTTTTCATGGTGTCTATTTTATCCAACTCACACATGCCACAGAAAAACAAATGCCAGCATCTTTTTTATAAAACAAAATCTTACATATTTCCATCCCACTACTGAGCCGCACCCCACGCAAAAGATGTCAACCACACTATGCATCCCAGTCATCATCATTGGCTCTTCTTTCTCTCCAAAAGTGACATTCACACTATCATGCATGAGGGAGTCAGATGTCATTTGCGGTATTCATATGTGAAAATTATGTGCCATAAATCATGAGTGAGTATGCCAAGAATGCGTTTTACTGAGGATAAGCACAAGATGAATGCATGTGAGAAGCACAGCATGTGAGGTCACTAAGTACTTATTATACCACCCAATGGGGAGCAGTCATTGGTGGCATGTCAGTATAAAACACATACATACACACATAATCCCAATAGACTTTTAAGAATACAAAAACACAAGCGTGCACGCACATTTCTGCACCAATTTAAGGGCGCTCATGCATCATGGCTTTCGTTATATTCACTCTTATCATCAGACATCTAGTCACAGCAAAGTAAACATTGCATGTATAAGGTCCCACGCATTGGCAATCTATGAGATATAAGGGTACAGTAAGCACCAGAAATTAAAGAGCACTTACACCTTCTTGAAGAGATAAGCCTTCCCATGCTTGCAGTGGAAAGACTGGAAACACAGTCAAAATATTGGGTTAGTATATATGCTGTCAATCCATGAAACAGCTAGCAGGCATAAATAGGAGACCAAATCATAAGCAAAGATGGGATGATCTAGCCAGGCTCCCCGGGTTTGTCACAATAATTGGCAGCATTCTTAGAAACCATTCCTCTCCGCTGTAAAGTAATTTAAAGCAAATATAATATGGTCATCAGTCTCGATGACCACAAGTGATCTGATAAACATCTTCGGGCAATACTATCAACATGCAAGTATCCTATAACCTTGAAAGTTGGTCACTTACTGAAAAACCAAAAGAAAACATAGAAAGCTGGTGCTCATACAACAGACTCATAAAAAATGACAAAAAGACCAGCCACCTCAGAGAAGTAATAGGTAATCAAGTTGACGCCCACAAAAGGAGGTAGTCTAACCTCATAAACATATGTATCTCATATAAGCGAGTGGCATATTTGATTATATTAGGGATTGGCCTATATCCAATCCATAACAATGTGAGGTAATCACAAACCTATGCTGATCTACTTTTTCACCTAATAATTTCTAAGCTTTTCACATTAACACATTAAAATTTCATGACAGTCATGGACACTGCTAACGCGATGAACTGGCATGTATGTTAAGAATTTACAGTAGTAGTTTTACTAGTTCAGTTCAAGAAAACTATCCTTCTTGAAAACCTCCTCTTCAATCCGCACAAGTTTCCACTTGAAGCCAAGAGACCTTTTTTAGAATCACCCAGAAGATGTCGGTGCCAATGTTCGCGATCCAATGATTCGAGGAACAGTGATCAGGTGTAGGTCCAGTAGCTTGGCAGATGAGAATAAAAACCAAAGGCAGACAAAAAGATCTTCTTTGAGATTCATGTAGAAAACAGTAAGCCTAGGAAAAGAAAAGAAAATAAAACTGTTTCAAATATGTTTTAGAAAGGCACAAGCTCAAGCATTGGAAACCCTTACCTGCTTAACTAGCTTATGATTGCTTTAGTCACATATTAATAAGCATGAGAAGAAATGGCAAAAGATAAAGACTTCCACATATAGTAAACAAGGATAGCCCATGGAAACTAGAGCTGGAAGAACACTTTCCCTTCGCAAAGGGCTATCCAAATTATAGTTTTGCTTCTCCTTATATGATGAAAGACAAAATGGAAAGATCCATTCCAGTAACAAGTCCAAATTCTCAACAAAATGTAATTAACATCTCAATCAATGTTCTCAATAAGTGATGTAATATATTGTGATAAAACATCCAATAATAGGTCCAAGGTCTCAATAATCTGTTCGACGACATTCATATGTAATTGAGCAAAGAACAAAACAGGATCTTATAAAAAGAATTAAGGAGCAATGCGAGCAATGGACAAAATTTTAGCAAAAAAGGCCAATTCCAATGAACTTGCTATATAAAGATCAGAAAATTAAACTAGTGGACTTATTTTTCTATTATCTTAGGATACTAAACACATCCATCAAGTTAAGAGCTTCACCAGACATTCCAATAAAGACACGAAGATTAATCCAGAAAAATGCAGCCACAAAAACAATTTACATATTCTTTTTTTTTTTTTTGGGTTCAACGGTCTAGGGGTGTCCAATTGAGATTACGCGCCCTTCGGCTAATCTTCAACAATTTACATATTCCCCTCTAAAAGAGTATAAACTCAACTGGTGCCCTGGACTGAGAGTTAAATTGGGCTACCAAGGTGTGGGTGTCTTCCAATCTCATCATATTGGGTTGTGCATAAGATATTATGTTCTATGGTTTACAACTAAAAGACCCCAAAAAAATAAAAAACAGAGTATAAATCCTGGCAAAGCTTCCGCTAACATCATCCTTTTACTCTTTCAACATTTACAAGTCAAGGACCTTTCAATAAGATCATCCAAAAACTTGCACAGTTACAAACCAATTGCAAAACAGAGAGAGTGAGAGACAGAGACCCTTGAGATGAGGTCCTCATAGAGAGCGAGATGGGTTTGGCAGTATGTGCAACTATAAATGTTGCCTTCAAGAGTGATCACGAATAGCCTACCCATTTCTTCCTCTGCCTATGTACCGCTACCACCACTCACAGATACAATAGCAGACGTTTCCTTCAAATCTACAAAAACCAGTTGCAATATCAGAACGATAAAAAAAACATCCGAAAAAATTGATCTAATTGAGCAACAACAAGAATCAAAGAGTAATATAATGCAAAACACCTATACTGATAGAATATATGCCAGAAACAACAAAGATTAAAGGAAGCAAGAGAAATATAGTGACCCAGATGATAATTTCTGCCTTACCGGCAGTTAGAGATAGAGGAGGAGCATATGAAAGCAATGATGACACCAATTGAGCCAAGTGTCTCTCCTTGTTTGTACGAGTTAGAGAAATCGAAGGATTCTGAATCAAAGTGTACTCCATTGCTTATGTGCATCATCGTACCTTTGGATTCTTACGCAAGTCCCGAACTTTACGTGATTATGATTATATGGTATAACTGTCAAATAATTTTATAAAATATTTATTTTAAAATTATTTAAATTACATCATATTTTAAAATACGAATTACCCCTAATGGATCCCACAGTGTTAAATAATTATACATCCATGTCATACAGTAATTACTTGTATGTAGGGTAATCAATATTTTCGAGTGAGATGAATTTATATTCGAGTGAGATGAATTTATATCGAGTTTTGTTGGATGCGTGGAAAAAGAAACTTTACTCATACTTAGTATATAAATGAATAATGTGTTGCATTTCTAACGAATCATGTCTGTATCGAGTTCATTTCATGTATAAATTGTATATAATTAATATATAAATAAATAATGTGTTGTATTTCTTCTGATTTATTTTACTCATATTTAATTTTTTATTAATCGTATAGTGTCAAGTTTACTCATTTATTAAATGGGTGATTTAAGAAATATTTAAACCCTCTAATTTTATATTGCGTTGNTATTAATCGTATAGTGTCAAGTTTACTCATTTATTAAATGGGTGATTTAAGAAATATTTAAACCCTCTAATTTTATATTGCGTTGACAGATTATGTCATATTTTGACACAGTTACCTCTATGAAATTCACTTGTCCATATATCAATCTTATTAATAAACGATTAAACTGTGTGAACATAGTGTCTTGGTGTATCCATTATGCCCAATATTTACTCCCCTCTCTCCGGTCTCCCCACCTAAAAAGGGACGTCTGGTTGCATCACCACAACGGAAAGACGTTCCATCACCACAACCATGACTGTATTTTCCATTTAAGTGAGTTGATTAGAGACGTGAACGAGACTCTGATTTACCAGCAAGATATTATATTAAAAAGTATAACTTTAATAATGAATTATCATTTTTTAAATTATAAATTATAACATCAACAAACATAATCAATGCAAAATATTGTAATCTATTATAAAAAAAAAATTATAATAGTTAAGTTATGTTTTTTTAAAAGTAAAATTATAATTTTGCAAAATAAAAATTATAATTAATTACAATAATTCATGATCGATCATAATTGATGATGCTCAAAAATAATAGCCCAACCCAGCAATTGATGTTTCAGGGGATAATAGTGAATAGGTTGATTAGGGAGTCAATCTATGAATAACCGAAGTATACAATATATAAGTGGTTCACCTCATCCGAATGACTAAGGTTACGTCCACTATAAGAGAGTCTCTTGTTCCTTGAGATTTTATATTACTTAATTGTTGACAAATACAATGGTATTACAGGCACTAGGTTCTTACAAGGAATATGCTTCCTACTATATCTGCTGTGTTTTTGGGTTGGCGAATGCAATGGGGAGGAAGAAGATCCAATATGGTAGGGTAACAATGTGTTATTTATACGAGTGATCCCCTTTAGGGTTTTCGGTGGCTCCTTCTTTCTTTTTGCTGATTTTGTGGGTCTTCCCGCCNTTGGCCTAGAAAAATATAATAGGCATTCAACATCATTCGCAGAACACTCAATCTTCGTATCTATCAAAAATAATTATCTCTTAAACCATCCTATCACAGGTGAAAATCTTCTGCCGTTAGAAAATTAGTAACAGAAATATTATATGAACTTAAAAATTAAATTTAATAATTTTAACTATTGATTTTATCGTAGGTTCTGTATTTATTGTGACTCACTACCTATTCATGTAATATCTAATTTTTAAATCTAATTTTTAAGTTCATATAACATTTTTAAGTTAATGTAAAACGATACTTTTTAAATTAACAACAAAGAAGTCGCNACAAAGAAGTCGACCCCTCATTCAAAGTACCCTATAAATATCCTTCATAAATGAGAAAAGGGTACAAGTGAATATCAGATATCATTAGGGGTGTTCATCTTACCCTACAGGTAGAAAATATAATCTTTCATCTTCCTATCTGATACTTTGTAGAATAATTTTTTCTTGGTCTATTCTATCCGATCAGGTGTGGTATTTTTAATCGACTTTTCTACCCTATTAAACGAGTAAGAAATCGGGTAGAAAGTCGGGTAAACACTTTTGTAACTTAATTTTT